AAAAAAAAAAAAAAAAAAAAAAAAAAAAAGCCATATACGTACTACGTATACGTACAAGTATACGGTATATTTACTATACTGCACGATCGTTCGTCTGTAACTATGTAAAACGCATCCCCTCGTTCTTGATTTTGGTTCCTGGTTATCGTCTTTTATCATATCGTAAAAGGCTTCCCATGCTGCTACGCCATGACCCTTCCGTTTCCCCCTTAACCATACAACTAAACATGGATTTACGACTAATCCGTGAGAGACAAAGGAAATGTGCGGTCCTGGTTGAATCGATAACGTACGTACGTACGTTCGTGACGTTGATAAAAATCAGGCTTGCCCTTGAGATAAGAGGTTCTTTTTTGCTTGTTCGGTGGAAAACAAAAAAAAGTCTTTTACGATTCCGGAGCTCGTACGTTGAAATCCCTTTTTATTTATTTCTTTTCTTTTTTCATTTCAACAAATAGTTAACAGATCATCTGTTTGCGATACAATCGAAATTCGATGAACATTTATATACATGGTGGATGGCTCGTAGATACGATAAAATTCATTGTAATCCAATGATCCTCTTAGAAACACGAAGGAGGAGAGAAACCTTAGGCGTTAAAAACGAATCGGTTGAGGTGAGACATATTGAATATCAACCCTACCCTCTCTCCAATCCCTCCCTCCCATAAATTGTACATTTCTTTCATCGACTTACTCATATTACTCCATCACGACGTTCTATTAATTATTAAATGCAGACAAACTTTTTTTTCTATACCGTATAAAGTATTATCCCGATGAATTTCAAATTCATCTTATACTCAAATTTCGAAATATGACCTTCGAATTCGAGTACGTTAGAGAATTTATTTCAAAGTGAGATCCTTTCTATTGGGGATGCGAGGGAAGAGAATTCCGAGGATGACTAACCCCAATGTTTAATATATACAGTAATGGTAATAGTAGTAGTAGTAGTAATGGTAGTAGTATAGGTCCCCTTCGATTCAGCGTAGCGAGTTTTGAGGGAAGCGGAAAAGGGTCGTCTAAACATATATATATACATATAGGTATTTTAAATATATATATATATATATATATATAGGGGGCACACACACACTAACGAGTATATATATATATATAAATATATGTGTGCATATCCAAGTAGCATGCACTTTGCATGCGTTGAATGCTCCGTGGGCCACCAAGTGCACTCGCGTTCTGAAGGGGTGGTTGCATTTTTCTAGCGCGTCGAAAGAAAGAGATGGAAGGATAGAGGGTGAAGTAGGGTGGTGAATAGAGGAAGAAAGAACGAGTTTGAGGAGGAGGGTACACGTTCCTCGCCTATTGATTTTGAAGGCTCGTTTTCTGCGTGACGTCCTCGACGATACTCTCGCTCGGTATTCTGGCTATTTATGATGCGCTTTATTAATAAAAGAATCGCCTGTTCCTCTCACTTTTTTCCTTATTTTCTTTTCTTTTCTTTTCTTTTCTTTTCTTTATTTTTTGCTCAACGATCGTAAATGCCAAGTATGCAAGTAATACATAGCATGCACACAGTTATATATATATATATATATATATATATATATATATATACATGTATCGTATAAGGGCATGGGTTTAACTTTCCTAGGGAAATACTTTCCGTTTCGGTTGCGATGCAATTTCTTGGAAAATTTATTATTCGACTTCACTTTGACTTGTTTTCGCATTAAATCCTTTTCGAATCGTTATAATATTACGAGTTGGTGTCGTGTAGGATAGATACTTATGCATACTTACTCTATGTTATACCTACATACGTTTTAAAAGGTACTTTTTTTTTCTTTTTTTTACCTTTTTGAAGAGGGCTTTTTCAACTTTGAGCCTCGACGCGTACAACTACTATTATATACATAGATATATATACACCATGCATACACACATACTTTAAATCTTGCTGGCTGACAAAGGGAGACTTGAAACAGGTGCCTCGTACGTAGGTAGTCATCCAAAGTTTTCTCGTAAGCATACTCGAGCCCATTATACACATACCTATCTACCTATACACACCCGACCGTCAGGTCGTTCACGTTCTCCACTCATTTCTGACATGGTTTTATTAATAAGTGTCGCCGTTCTTTTATGACGCGCAGTAAGCCTTTGTTCCAATAAAAGGAAGCCATTCGAAATGCCACGTACGAATGCCAGCTCGTTCCATATGAAAATTTGCTCGCGGAATTTCTATCTCGTATTTACGACCCATCATCATCATCATCATCATCATCATCATCTTTGTTTTTTTTTTCTATTTCTTTTTTTTTTTTTTTATTATTATTATCATCATCATCATCGTATTTTATATTATTCGTGTCTTGCATATTATAACGTTATTATTATATATTTATTTATTTGAAACTAAACAGATACATTTAAACGCACAAATAAGTGCACGATACTGATGATGTTTTATTTTATTTGATTTGATTTTTTCCTCTGTTTTTTCTTTTCCAGGATTCGGGAGCCGGTGCCCCGGCCGACGATGACGACGGAGCGAGAAGTTGCAAAAGGTGAGTTTTTTTTTATTTTTCTCGACAAACAATTTTCTTCGTATTACGTTCTTATTCCGTTTTATCGTTACGCGTCAAAGTTACACTACGCGGTACAGGAAGTTTAAAATCATAAAATATGCAGTGAGTACTTGGACTAGACCGTAAATAAAACGTCGGTATCTTCAAAGCTTCTCCGATTCATACATATTTATATTCTTATTTCGATATATGAAATAGAAATAGAGAGAGAAAAAGAAAGAGAGACTGCATTAAAGTTTATCTTTTTCTTTATTTCTTTCTCTCTCTCTCTCTCTCTCTCTCTCTCTCTTTCTCTCTTTCTCTTTAATTCAGCAGGTGAACACGATTCAAACGACTCGATATTCGATTTTAATCTCCATACGGCAAAACGGATTCTTTATATTCGTGATATTACTTTTGAAAAAAAAGAAAAGAAAATAATAATAATAATAAAAAGAATATGAGAACTTACGAAACCTTAAGAAGATTCATTTTTCTCGCTAATCTTACCTCGTGAAAGACTTTAATTAGCGTATTCTCGAGTTCTAGTTTGATAAGATCGAATCAGGACTATGTCATAACCATTAAAACACAGTGTTGCCCTTCTAGAATGAAATAGAGAGAGGGGGGAGGGGGGAAAGGGGGAGGGGAAGAATCTAAGGAGAGCATCGTCCTTATGTTAGACAAAGAAAGGAAAAATAAGAAAGTGGAACTCGTGGACGATGGTTGGCCGATACATCGAGATAAAGGATCTAAAATGGTGTAACATTGGCTACCGGTAGGAAACTTTTAACTTACTCTTTATTTTTTTTTTTTTTTTTTTTGTATACTAACTAATTTATACTATCTCCTCATTCCCCCCTCCCCGACTCCCGCCCTCCGTCTTCCCCCTTATCCCAGTATCCCTTTTCTCTGTAGTTTACACCACGTTTATCTAATATCGTTAAGAGAGAACTCGTTTTCCAACATAAGATCATCGAACTTTTCACCTTTCTAGGTAGATACATGCATGTTAGCAAGTTTAATGTCGTTATCGTCGTGTGTTGGCTGTTCGTTAAGGGATCTTCAAGAAAGTTGGTTAGTTTTTGCTATACCTCACTGTGGTGACCGCTTCATAATGCTTATCAAGGTGAAAATAAGAATTTAGTTTTTGTACCTGGCCGTTATCGAGCATATCGAGTTCGTTTCATTAACAAGCTCGTTCGTTCGTTCGTTCGTTCGTTCGCCAATCATTATCCCTTTTTTCTTACTTTATTTCTTTATTTATTTCCTCTTTTTTCGTATATGTGTTCGTTGCACTTAACTTTTTACCTTCCATAATAAATCTTTTTATTATCTTATTAATAACTTAACGGTTATCGTGTATTTATCAAGAAACCGTGGTCTCTCTAGTAGGATGAAATAAGAAAAGGAAAAAAAAAAAAAGAAAAAAGAAAATGAAAAGTGACGTTGAGTGTGAGTTATAACATTAGCAACATAGCGTCGCCAACAAATATTACGGAGTATATATAACTTATAAATTAATTTATTTCATTTTTATTGTGTTAGATTTATTATACTTAACGCGTGAACTTGCCCGATTCGTCAGATAGATTATTATTTAATGCGATTTAAATATATCTATCACAGTCTCTCTCTCTCTCTCTCTCTCTCTCTCTCTCTGCAATTGTAAGGAAATAAACTTACTACATTTAGTAATGATTCAATTAAAACGATTACTATTTTGCTCTCTTCGTCGCACGCAAAGAAAGTCATTTCCCGGTGCGAATTTCCTTCATAACGTAAACACAGTCGGGTAAATAGTTACGTTAATTTGTAGACGACGAGTTAAATCTCTAAGAACAGGAAACAGGTGAACTGAACTCTCTGCTTCCTCGAGCTGTCTTCTTCTTCCACCCGCTGCGAAAGGTAGTAGCATTTCTTAATCATTATCCGACTTTCTACTTGGAGTCTTTGTGCAATAAACGCGTCGTCTCAAACTCTGACGACAACGAGGAGGACTGAGGGGTGAAGGAAAAAGAGTAAACGCGGAAACACGGAAATTACATTCGATTTCTCGTTTTCCAACTGAATTTGATCTTCCTTCCCCCTTTTCTCAACTCAACTCAACTCTCCAACCTAGAAATAAATATATATATATGTACACGTATATAAGCGTACATTTAAATCCCGGAAATTGTCAATTTTATCTAACGATTTTTCTTAATCGTTTATTTTTCTTTTTTTTATTACTTTCTTTAAAATTCTTTCATTTCTTCTTCTTCGTACGTAGTTGATTTTATTTATATGGGTTTTCAGATTTGTGTAAGTAAAGAGTTGAATTTTGAATCTTTTAGGAAAAACCAATAAAAGAAACCTTTTGAATAAATCTACGGGATTAAGTCTCGATGGGATTGAACACGACATGCCCAAGATATTTCGGTTTGATTTACTACTCGTTATTGAATAAATATAAGTAAAGTTCTTTTGTAAGTACAACGTTTTTAGACGACGGTAATGATTAAATTTTATGGGACTACATAAATAGAAAAGGATCATAAAGGTATGGAAAGAAAGAAAAAGATAGAACAAGATTATGGAAAGTATTCGTATTAGTGTGGTGGGTTTGTGTATATGTATGTGCATTAAAATCATTTTATATACTCATTAAAGTAAGAATAATACGAAGTACATTTGTTTAAAATTTACATATACTTCGAATAAATAATTTCGTATCCTGATGTTTTATTAGATGAAAATTTTTAACTCAAAGTTATCACCTGGCTAGAAACGTTAAAAACAAATGTAGTTTAGTTTAAACAATCCAAGATGTTAATAAGGTATATTAGAGTGTGTGAAATATATTTTAAATTAATTAATTAATCGAAAAAAAAAATAAATAATATGGTTTAGAAACACGGGGTATATGATCGATGCACTTTCCTCTTCGAAATCCACCGTTGAACTGAGTCATTGTTCTTTAGAAAATTACTTTTATTAAATATTAAGATTAATTATTATTAAATAAAATTTAAGATTATAACATTCTAATTTTATCATTTTTATCATTTTTATGTAATTATTTTAATGCACCTGCGCAGTTATGACTTCGAGGATAAAATTTTCCTGTATTATAAGTAGAATGCATTAGAGTATTAAAATAATTGTTAATTAAATGAAAGAAATGTGCATTGTTGTTTAAAAGCGCACGAGATATACATAAAATAAAAATATATGAAAATTATTTTCTATTTAAAGTACGTTAGTACGTATGTAATGTTTCAACCAATACATATCTGTTTAAATAATCTGAAATAAAAAGAGAATGCCTTAGAATATGAAAATAATTGTTAATTAATCGATAGAAATATCTATTGTTGTTTAAAAGCTCGGAATATATGATCTGTGTACTATCCTCTTCGAAATCCACCGTAAGACTGGCTCATTGTCCTCTGTGAAATTTACTTTTATTGATTGTTGTTTATATGACTTTCCTTAAAAGGAAATTCTATATATTACGAATATTATTTTTGTTATGTATTAGTACCATATAAGGAAAGTAATATAAACAATATTTAATAAAAAAACTTTCACAGAGAATAACATGCCAGTCTAACGGTGGATTTCTAAGAGCATGCTACTTAAAATTAATATTTCGTGTTTTTAATTTAAAATAAACATTTTCTTTCGATTAATAATCAATCTTTTACAGATATATCGTACACTCTAACGCACTTTATTAATATCTTCAATTGTTTCAATTAAATTGCGTTTTATAAACGAGTCTAAATCGTAATAAATTTTTTATGCATAAATACAATGCTGTTATTAAAATTATATTTATGATAGTTTAAACGTAACGATAATTTGTTACACGTTACAATATTTGATAGTTATACATTTCTTATAATATATATCTCGAGTTTTTTTTGGTTGGAAATGTAAAATAAATAATAATATTAATTTATGCGCGTGTGTTCGTAATAAAATCATATCGCAATGGAGAATTAAGAAAGTAAGTTACGTTGAAGGATTGATTGATCTTTAAATCGAACGAACTTGTGGCTACCGTTTCTGGCAGAGAGTAACATCGGTGCATCTACTACTCGCTATTTTTGATCATCGCAACGTAAGAGAGTATCTGATACATGAACTTTAACACACTTGAGTTCGACTAGTTAAAGGTCAAACGAGAGGAACGAAGTAATAATCCGACCCAAATCTATCGACCTGAAACGTGCCGAATTTGATTTCGACCTTATTTCATGTGAATATAATATGTTTTTGTACGAATGTTATTTTTTTATTGATTGAATAATAAACTCTATGACAAATTTCTGATGAAGTTTCTCGATATATTTCGAATAAAAACATTTGGAAAATGATTGACTGATTGACCCTCCCCGAAGCTTATAACCGCGATTATGTTCTTGCTGTTCGTACTAGAACGTTCACGCCATTTTCTGTACGTTCTACACGTGGGAACTTAGGTACTTGCACGTTGAGAAAGGGCATAAGTTATTTTAATATTTTATTTTTCTTAATTTTGTTCTTTTTTTTTTAACCCTTCTTTGCATGATGATGGAAATTTCAATCATAATATTTAGTCAACAAAAAAAGGTACTCAAAACCCTTGTACTGTATATTTCTTGTTGCTGGCAACTTTTTAACTGCGTACAACAAAACGCAGTTGTCCAAAAATAGCACTAGGATTTTTTTAAATATTTTTCCTTTAATTTAGAGCATTAATTACATCACCCTGATTTATTTTTAAAAAAAAGAAAAAATCACGCAAAGAAGAGGTTAAACTTTACCAGTTATTACATCGCGTGTTTGTATTCGCATAAAAAAGAAAAACACGATATCGAACATTTCTCATAGAAACTTCGTGGAAATTCAAGAGGAACTTGTAAATGATATGAAGTAAGATATGACGATGAGAAGAAATTCGTGATAACATTTTTGATATTAAACTCGAATAATTTTGTGTAAAAGGAATGACACGTTAAATCAAATACAAG